AGGAGGAGAAAGTTAGTCATCTCTGAGGCCTCAGAAATGGTGTTCATTACCCTTGATGACCCAGGCATGAAGATTTAGTGAGAGATGAGACTTGCTATGTGCTGGAATTTACTCCATGATGATTTGCCCTGAGCCAGTTCTTACAGAAGGAAATATCCACATTAATGAAACATAAATTGTTGGCCAAATAACAGCCTCCTTTTCCTCCTGCTCTGTACAAAGGCCTAGAGACCTACTGGGGTATTCAGGGACAATGGAAGATGGCTGGCTAATGTACAAAGATCTAAACTTTATTCCCTCACTATCTCACGGGATGATCTTTGGACAGGTCTCAACAACTGCCCTCTATATCTTATCACCTGTGAAGTGGAAGAATCAAATGAAAGTGGTCTCGGAGTTTCCCTCAGGTTCTGAGATTTGATGCTACTATCTGTCCCCAATACAAGAAAAGTCTAACCACCATCTAGTGGAGAAATGGAAGAATTTACCAAGATACAACACACTTTCTAACACCTGAAAATAAAACCAGCCAAATGAAAAACAGAAAATACTTTCCCCATTAAAAAAGCAGACTTTGGTCAAAGCTTAGTAAGTAGATCCTGTATTTCTTTTTGGGTGGATTCTGCATGAAAAAGTTAAGACTTCTTTATTCACTGAAGGGAATAATTTTTTTTTGAACTTGGAGATTCAAACCTATGGTAAAGACCTGTACACTTCCAGATATTTCTTAGAAAGGAAAATTGTAAAATATTTCCAGATAGCACCCTGATTGTTTTGTCATAAGAAATCTTCTCTTGGTAAAGAATAGTACAGAAAGAGAAAATATCAACGTTGATGGAAATTTTTAGAGAAAGATTTTCACAGTCATAACATTGGTGAAATGAGGATTTATGCTGCCGCTGGGTTCTAGGACCCTCTTGTATATGTGACTCAAGCTGGGGATCAAGTGACAAATAATAAAGCAAGATGATAGATAGGTATATCAGAGAGTAAATAATACAAGAAAAATTGTGGGGACTTCCCTAGTGGTCCAGTGTTATGGGATCCCCTTCCAGTGAGGGTGATGTGTGTTCCATCCCTGGTCGGGGAACTGAGATCCCACATGCCTCGGGGCAATGGGGCCCTCGCACCACAGCTAGAGAGAAGCCCTCTGATGCAACAGAAGTTCCCTTAGGCAACTAAGATCTGACACAGCCAAATAAAAACAAATATATATTTTTAAATTGTGGACACAGCAGGGGAAGGAGAGTGTGGGATGAATAGAGCATTGATATATACACTATCATGTGCAAAATAGATGGCTAGTGGGAAGCTGCTATATAACACAGGGGGCCCAGCCTGGCACTCTGTGATGACTGAGAGGGTGGGAGGAGGGGAGGGGAGGGGAGGAAGGCTCAAGAGGAAGGGGGTATATGAATAATTCGGGCTGATTCGACTTGTTGTACGGCAGAAACAAACACAGTAGCGTAAAGCAACTTCCCTCCAATTAAAAAATACATTCTTTAAAAAAGAAAAAAAATGCAGATGGATGTTAAGGAGCCATGCTGCTCCAGATGTAAGAGATGGCACAATTCCTACATTTTATTACCAAGGATAACACTCACTTCCTTGTCATTGAATGCTTTGAATCCTTCCCTTAGTTAATACACAGACCAATACTATTTGGGTGTCTTTCTAATTTATGGTGAATGACATGAGAGAGTATCTGTTATACTTTTGGACTCAAGTTCAGTTCAGTCGCTCAGTTGTTTCCGATGATTTGCAACCCCATGGACTGCAGCACGCCAGGCTTTCCTGTCCATCAGCCACTCCCAGAGCTTACTCAAACTCACGTCCATCGAGTTGGAGTCAAGAAAGATAACAAATCACAGAACCTCCAGAGTTTTGGGACAACTGTTAGATATTCTACTGTATCAATATTTTATATTGAAGAAAATAGACTGCTAAGGACCAGCTTCTCCAAATTGGGTAAGAAGGACACTGGTTTCTCCTTTATCTGCTGAAAATGTTCTTTTCTACTGTGCACGAGCAGTCTGGGAGGTAGGTGAAATTAGAAGACTGTGAAACGCTAAATTATACCGTGGTCTTGGTTCAGATATGCAACTATGAGACAAGTCTGTTCTGATATGTTACTAGCCCTTTTGGTGTTTCTGTAATCCCAGGCAGATAACACCTTCCAATATACACAAGTCATCTCAGGTTTTGGTTCCTATTAAATGACCCTTGGACCCTAAAACATCATCACTGTTGAAGCGGAGACATTGGCCTTGGTACCAAAACAAACACAACCAACATAGGTTCTATATGGTTGAATATTTCAACAAATTAAAACATTTCAAAAAAGATTTCCTGTCTAGCAGTGCTTTGAAGGCGAGCAATCATGATTCTTAAGTGATTGATGAACGCTTGAAACTACTTCTAATTATCATTCATTCAGCAAGTATTTATGGGGTGTTTACTTAGGCCACCTGCAGCAGTAATAGCAAAAATAGTGTGTTATCATTCTGTATAAAGACTTTGCTGCAGACCAACTGTCGGAAGGGCTGGACTCCAAGTTGCCTTGTTCTAGTCATCATCGTTATCTCTGCTCCTTTATTTGGTCTGTGTGGGTACCAATTCAAGACCCTCCTTTAGGGTTAAGGTTGCTTTGTTAATGTACCCTTGTGGATTGTTCCTCTGGTTACAAATCAAATTGCTTTATATAAATGAACAGAACACAAGATTGCTTTTTTCTTTTTGAGTTGTCTATTCAGTCAACTCAGTGGTGATTTTCACAGAGTGAAAGGCAGAAAACGTTAGGTTTGAGGTACCCTATCTGCCTTTGAGGTGGGCTTTCCTGGGGGCTCAGATGGTAAAGAATTTGCCTGCAGTGTAGGAGATCCAGGTTTGATCCCTGGGTCGGGAAGATCACCTGGAGAAGGGAATGGTTACCCACTCTAATATTCTTGCCTGGAGAAGCTCATAGGTGAAGGAAGCTGGTGGGATATAGTCCACGGGGTCACAAAGAGTTGGACATGACTGAATGACTAAGCACATCTGCCTCTGGGTACAGAGAGGAAATGAATGGGTAGGCAGGTTCTGACCCCTCACTTATTTCAATCAGAACAGTTCTAAGCAGGAGGTCTTTAGTCCATCTTTCACCTCAGGAGTCACATATTTGCAGCCTTGAGGTATTATTTTTCTGCAAATTGTTAACCTACCCTAGGAAAAAGAGCTGATTTCTGAAGAACTGCCACTTCCTTGATCCATGACTCTCATCTCACAAAAATGAAACATGCGGCTAACATCTACAGGCTATTTAAGATATATATATGGTTGCTTCCTAGGTCATTCCACTGTTACTTCTGTGATATATCCACTATTTCCTTTTTTCTATTACCAAAGTCTCACAAAACGTCCTTAGTTCCTCAAAACCTGCTACATAGTGAAGAGGCAAAGAAAATGTTCACATTTCACATGGATGTCAAACTTAATGATGCAGCCTCAGGGATCAGAGAGATCTGAGTTAAGATCCCATTCTGGTATTCTCTAGCATTAGTATGACCATGGGCAGGTTAGTGAGCTCCTCTCTTTCTCAACATCCTTTATCTGCAAAACACAAACCCCTGCAGTCCTTACAATGAACAGATGGTTTGCTTTTGGAGGGTTCAATCCCATAATGTGTGTGAAGCACTTAGCCCAGTGCCTGGCACCTGGTAAAGAGTTCATGGATGGAAGCTATTACTGTCACTATAAGTGGAGATATAAATGCTAACATGGATTCCTAAGAAAGCCGAATCTAAATTATAACATGAACACTCCTATCGCTTTCTCTGATCGTCTTTCTTTACCTGAAGCAGTCTGTAGAGAAACCTGCTGTAAGTTGTATAGGGGTCTAGTGGCTTCTTGACAATATGTTTTGCACTGACAAATACTGATTTAGTAATAATATGGGCTGTAACCACAGGTAGAAAACAGGGCAAAAAGAGAATGGAATGACTACAGTGATCACTTTTCCTGGATGGAGACCTCAGAATATTGACCATTGTAATCCTCCTTGTCATGTTACAGTTTGACAGAATCTTGATAAATAATTGAATTCCCTCCATTTCATAAGTGGGAAACTGAGGTCCCCATGTGAGAGACAGAACCAGGACTAAATTCTATACAATAGTCTATATATTTGATTATGAAACTTGTCAAAAATCACAAATGTAGAAAGACTAGAATCACAAACTTTTATATGCTCATCACCTATCTTCAATAATTATCAACCCATTGCCTCTGTTGAAAAGCCAGATTTACATCTGAGTCTGGGTTGGGATGATCCCCTGGACAAAGAAATGGAAACTCACTCCAGTATTCTTGCCTGGGAAATCCCATGGACAGAGGAGCCTGGTGGACTATAGTCCATGGGGTCACAAAGATTTGGAACAACTTAATGACTAAACATCGACAAAAAGACCTCGTTTTCATGAGAGTCCTAACTCTATAGTTACAGTCACTTAGATCCCTCTGCAATGCAAGAGATGCAGGTTTGACCACTGGATTGGGAAGATCCCCTGGAGAAGTAAGTGGGAACCCACTTCAGTGTTCTTGCCTGGGAAGTCCCATGGACAGAGGAGCCTGGTGGACTATAGTCCATGGGGTCACAATGAGTCGGACACGATTGAAGCGACTTAGCATGCACACTCAAGCTGTATGATGTATCCTTCACAGAGCTCTTCAGAAACAGTATCTTACCGAGCAACTCCCGGGCAAAGGACCAGAAAGAGGACATGGCCTGTCAAACAAAGGCAGGCAGTCAATAAATGTCTAAACTGTAGAAAATCTGCCCAAGTTATTTTTAGAACAGCCTGGAAAGCACAGGCTTATTATGAAAGGCACTGCTCCTTTAAATTACTCACTGATCCCACCCAGATCTTGCACCCTGGCCAAATGCCTAGCCACTCTTGCTTTATTTGTCTAAAAAACATGAGTAGAGAATTACAAAAGATCTAAAAGCAAAGACAATTTTTATTTCCCACAGAACAGAACAATATCAAATAGTCAGCTCCATCCTCAGCAATGGTCCTTGCTGTTGGCATTTGCTTAACCAGTCTTTAATTCCTGTTTGATAAACTTTATAAGGTAAGACATGACTGTTTTGTTTTAATCACTGGAAGTCAGTTCAGACATCTAGGAACTGTGGAAGACTAAGCAGTTTATGTATTTATTATGTGAAGAAAGCTTATCAAATTTTTTTATCCTTTGTTATTACTTTAATTATATTGTCAGGGAAATAAGAATAATTGTTAAAATGTAGAAATATAAATTTTAAAGCTATTTCAAAATTGATTTTTAATTTATAGCCTACTATGTAGCATTGTTATACTGTTAATATCTTTTGGGACATCTTTTTTTTAATTTGGACACATTTTTATAACTCAGTATTCACTGCAGAATGCTTTATAACATGGTAAGTTTAACGATTTGGATAAAGTATCTGATCACTTTATCTTCACGGCAAAACAAATGAGATGCAAACATTGTGAATAAAATTAGTAAACTTTGCTGAAAGATAATGTTATTTCCAAAAAGTCATAAAATATAAGTTCTCTTGGATTTATTGATCCTGCTATTTACCCAAAATAAATTTCACACAAAAAAGCCAAAACTATGGCATTTGATTAAAGGTAACAATTGTTTCTGCATTTATGAAATGCAAACTGTAGTAAGCACAAAGGTTTATATTTCCTTTATTTAACTAATGACTCTTTTCCCCTGAAACCTATTTTGCTTGTATATAACATCTAAATGAGAGAAAGGTGGGAAGTATTAAAAACCGAGGCAAAATAAAACATGACAAAAGGGTTCCAAAATGAGTGGACTCTTAAGATATTAAACTAAAAAAAAAAAGATATTAAACAAAGAAAGTGTATGGGTGTCCTCTGGCTAATACTGGAAAGCAACAGCATGATTTTGGTTTGGGAGAACTAGATAAAAAATGTCAGAACAAATAGTAGTAAAGTATGAGATATTGTGATTATTGCTAATGAATCAATTATATATACATAAGGCTTCAGTTATGAATTCATAATTACACATCAACAAACTGTCTGAGCAAGTGCCTAGTTTAGGGGAAAGATATCTATTTAAAGCCAGCATTTCCGAAGCCCAAAATGAGGCCTGCAAATAAGAGAAATAGTGGTTTTCATCTCAGGATCCTGCATGGGAATCCCCTTCTTTAGGTTTTTGAAGAGTTGTCTTGATCTACAAGCTACAAGCTTATAAAATCTCTCTTGTTCTCAATGAAATTTAATTTTCAATCTCTTATTTCCAGAACTTCTAAGAACTTCTTTAAGTACAAGGGTCAACAAAAGAAAGAAGTCATATGTAATACCAGGGACATGATGTTATACATTTTCCCCCTCTGAAAAGGTAACAGTGGCCACATTTTGATACACAGCTTTGAATGTGAAAATGTGAAAGTGTTGGTTGCTCAGTCATGTCAGACTCTTTGCGATCCCATGGACTGTAGCTCACCAGACTCCTTTGTCTGTGGGATTCTCCAGGCAAGAATGCAGGAGTGGGTAGCCATTCTCTTCTCCAGGGGATCTTCCTGATGCAAGGATCAAACCCGGGTCTCCTGCATCGCAGGCAGATTCTTTACCATCTGAGCTACCAGGAAGTCCCTTTTAACACCTAGTTGTCTCCAAATCTTAGCATACCTGGTCTGAAGAGCAGTTAACACTTGATCAATTGCATGTGAGGCAAATGCCAAGAGATATGGTGGCACAGACAGTGAAGAATCTTCCTGCAATACAGGACGCATGGCTTTGACCCCTGGGTCAGGAAGATCCCCTGGAGAAGGGAATGTCAAACCACTCCCGTACTCTTGCCTGGAGAATTCCATGGGCAGAGGAGCCTGGCAGGCTATCGTCCATGGAGTCATAAAGAGTTGGACATGACTGAGCGACTAGGCACACACACATGCACACTTGGCCATACTGATACAAGGCCAGCTTAATAAGCTTCCTGCTAATCAAGGCTATTTTAGGGGCAGACTACGGCCTGGAGCCCTCCACTGATTCTTCCCCAATCCGATGGCTTTGCTTCTCGTTGGGGCTTCTCCATCTGGCATGTATGAAGAAGTGTCTCCCATCTCATTCCTTACTGCCTTAGCATGTATTTCCAACTGCCCCCCCCCCCCCATTCAGAGTCTGGAAAAATTCATGCTTATGATTTTCCAGTTTACCATTCCCTGAAGGCAAGGTGTCAAAGAAGGAAAGTGTGATTCTTTTTCCAGAACTTCTAAAGTGTATACACTTCAAGCTGGCAAGCATTTCCAAACCACGCAAAACATGGGGTTCAAAATAAGCCTTCTTACTCCCATTCTCAGGTCTACTGGGCTAGCCACACATGAGTCTTCTTTTGCCAGGCAAGTCTGTGGCTTTTAAATGCTCTTGGTACATAGCTGGGCTTATTGAGTGCTGAAGATTGCTGAAGATTTAAATACAGGATTATATTTTAATCTATCCAGGAAAAAAGTTTCACAGGGCCTTTCAGAGGGGCTTGCTTCCTGATTTCAAGTCCTGTTTCTGTTCGGTAGTTCTTCCAGCTAACCCTTAGCAAATCTGGTTTTTGTTGTTTTTGTTTTTTTTGCTCTCACACTCTTTTGACTGATGGGATATGCAGCTGTAGGACAGCTTGAAGCTCCAGTGGAGATGAAGTTAACAAAGTAAATGTAGAAAATGGGGTTCTGTGGAAACAGAAGGGCAATTCAATTTTTGACGACCTCTGAACTCACTGAAATTGTGCATGTAATATTAAGACTGAAATCGTGGTGGCTCTCTACAACCCTGTAAAAATATTGGCATGGTCAGGAGTTAGTCATAATGAAAATGGATAAAACAACCTTGTAGCAATCTGATACTACCTTGGAGAATGTGGAAATGTCAAACAGACCCTGTGATTGAAACACAGTCATCATATAGAGTGGGACTGAAATGTTTTTAAATAGCTCTTCCCTCTCCTGCTCCCCATAACATAATGGGAAATGCAGACTACTTGGATGTAACTCTTTGAATATACAAAAATATTCATTAATAGGTATTTGGTTGTGTCACCATGATTTATTTAGATTAGAAACTTTAAAAATCCCCATGTAGATAATTCTCCATAAATATGAATGAAAAACCCTTTTCTCTTTCCACATGCCAGCTTTCAGTTTTACCAGCTTGAAATTAAAAATAGCAAACTCTATATCTTATTAAAGTATTTATAACTGATTTTTTAAATTAAAGGTGCTACACGGCGGATGATTTTTCACCATCCATCATAATGTGGAACAGACATTTTGTCCTGTATCTCCTGCTTTTGCCAGCTTTTATGAATCAAGCAATATATGGACAAAGAAAGAAAGGCTCAAAGACCAATTTACTTGCAAGGAAAAATCTCCAGGGTAAAAAAATGTTTTATTTTATCTTTGTTAGTTTTAGTTTCTTAAAACCCTAAAAAGAATTTTTCCAAATAGCACTTGGTATAAACAGCAAACCACATATTTATGTATATATGTGATATTCTATTTTGATATGATCATAAGGCACCTTACATACTGACAGAGCATACTTACATGGGTACTTAGACAGCATACATAAATGGGCACAACAGAGAACGCCACTCACATAGATAAAGAAACTGAGGCCCAGAAGGTGAAGTGGCATGCTTGAGGCTGCAGACAAATTAGCTAGCAAGTCACAGAGCTAGGATTCAACCTTCAGTTCTCACTATTAGGTTTCTTGGTCCCTCACCACTGCTGCAATGTGATGCATCCAGTCATTTTCTCCCTTGATTTAAAAAATGTTAAAAAACTAAAAATTGCACCCAAACAAGATGGGGCCTCACCAATATGTCACACAATCTGGGAATGAGGCAGAGCATTATTTACTTCTAGACAACTTTGCCTAGTGTTTGTTGAATTTTTAGACTACAATGTACTTTCTTTTCCTCTCACTTTAAGTAAGTTTTACCTTAGGAAGATGCTCAGAACATATGGTATTTTGTTTGCTTTTGATTTGCATGATTTTAGAAGAGGAAAGGAATTTGAAGACTTGGAAAGAGATTTAGTTATTTACAATGTAAGCCCGATCTCCAAGGTGCCTCTCTTTTTTACTTCCTTCTGCTCTTGGACATCAGCAATTCAGACCACACACCTCAGGGCTTTCCTCATGCAAAATTGTTTTACAAGTGGGGACAAGGATGCTGCCTAACCTATTTGCTCTATTTCAGACTCCACGTGCTTCATAGATCTTGTCTTCGTCGTCGACAGCTCTGAAAGTTCCAAAATTTTTCTCTTTGACAAACAAAAAGATTTTGTGGGTAGCTTGAGTGACAAGATATTTCAGTTGACCCCAGTGGGGTCCTTGAAATATGACATCAAACTGGCAGCCCTTCAGTTTAGCAGCTCTGTCCAAATTGATCCACCTTTTTCCTCCTGGAAGGATCTACAGACTTTTAAACAGAGGGTCAAGTCTATGAATTTCATTGGGCAAGGTACTTTCTCTTATTATGCCATTGCCAATGCCACAAGGCTACTTAAGAGAGAAGGGCGTAAGGATGGCGTGAAAGTGGCTGTGCTGATGACTGATGGCATTGACCATCCGAAGAATCCAGATGTTCAAAGTATTTCTGAAGATGCCAGAACTGCAGGAATATTATTTATCACCATTGGACTTTCTACTATAGTCAACGAAACCAAACTGCGCTTGATATCTGGGGATTTACCCAGTGTACCCATTCTCCTGTTGAATGATTCAACCCTTGTCGACAAAATTCAGGATCGCCTGGTAGGTACCTAACATGTTGATTTTATATATATTTCTTATTATAATGCTGATAATTTGTTCACAAATTCTGAAAGGATAATAGGACAAAAAGATGAAAGGGAAAAAAAATCTACCTTTGAAATGGAAAGAAGAATCTTTCTGATGTGTCTCTATATTCTTGACAGTTTGCACCACATAAACTGGGGAGGTACCAGGCTAATTCTCTGTAATTGCATTCCTAACTTTACCCTCAGCCAGTGCTGAAGAGTTTGGAAGGATTCATTTCCAATCATCCATCTGGGACTCCTGTTTGTGCATCCTGAGCTCGGTGAACACTGCCGACTTATATTTGATTTGTGGTCAAATTACAATCTGCCATATTTGTCTTAAGTTCTTTTTTTCCCGTTCCACTTGTGCAGAAATATTTTTTGACCCTTTGTCTCATCATTTGCCATATTATGCTCAAGTGAAGGTTGCAGACTTCCATTTTGAAAATTTATCTCCTTGATTCTTAGGTGTTAACAAGGTCAGCTAACTTTAAGTCACGATTGGCGGTATCACTGCTTTCCTTTATTGGTTGTAAGAACCCTTCCTCGCTGCTAGGGAAAACACAACGCAAAGCAATCAAAACAAAATTCCTCTTCACCACATTTCTCAAGGAGGAACTCCTGGAGATAAGGTGGTTGATTTGTTAAGTGTCAAAAATTAATTTTCTTAAAAATGCTGATTTAAAAAAAAAATTCTTGACAAGAGGGCTAGGCTGATGTGTCCTTTAGGTCCTGAGTACTTCATATGGCTCTTTTCTATCGATTGAAGAAACCTCAGGCCCTCTTTCAGAGATTGTCTTGCTCCTTTTGTCCCATCTCTCAATTCTTTTTCCCAACATTACTTTGATTTTGTTACTCTCAGTTGTTTTTAGCACAAGACGCTGGGTTTTTCTTACCTAAATCACAGTGATTATGTCTTGAGTGCTGTGTATTAGGCATTTCTCTGAGTGCTTTATATATTTTCTTTTATTCAATGTTTACAACAATCTTATAATGTAGGTACTCTTATTATCTCCATTGCATAGTTGAAAATTTAAGGCCAGGCAAAGACCCCAGAGCCTGCATGCTTGACCCTGTAAAGTTAGACTGGGAGAGAAGAGAGTAATTTTTTTAAAGGTTTTCTCAAGCAAAAATTCCTTGAAACAGTTAAGAAACTTCCCTTCTCCAAAACCTACTGCTGTTTTTAGCCTTTTGAAACTTGGGCATTAGGGGAAGACGAGGGGGCAGTTCTGCCTAGACCTCAGACGACAGGCTCAGCCCTCAGGTACCTGGGGTGAATGCTTACGTGAGCATCTCTTCTGCAGGAAAGGGAGCGTGCAGGGGGGTCAGGCTAACTGCCTAGCCCTGCCTGTGCCTAATTTGAGTCCTCACCACTGAATGAGACAGAAGTTTCCAGCATGTGCAGGAAAGAAACCCCGGGGTTGTGATAATGAGTCATCTGCTGCTGCCTGGAGAAGACACAGGACAGGCAGCTCCTTGTTTGGCCAGATGTGTCAGCTCAGGAGGTTCATAGTCCCTCCAGACACATACTCCTAAGAACTCCTGCCCAACTGAGAGCGCAGGCTCTTGGCAGTACATCCGAAGCAAAACTGTTTCTGGGGAAACCGAAAAATGACCAAGCATCCTCATGACTCTACTCTTCCGTAGCATCCTCTAATTTCAGCTTGTTTGTTCAGATGGAAGCTCTGTGAACAAGCCATTTCTTAGAAGTAGGTGCTGCTTTCCAAACAAATTGCAGGATCCAAACAGCTTATCTGGTTTTTCAAAGAGATATATACTAAGTATCAATGTTTCAAATGGCCACTGTCTAGGAAGCAAAACTGGACTTTTGCTCAGACTGTTTGAAAAGCCCTTATCTAATCTGTTTCTGTTACATCTGTAGTTCAATTTTTTAAACTTTTTCTTTTGAAAGAATCATGAAGTTTAAATAATCATGAAGTTGACTTAAAAAAATAAGTTACTTATGTATAAGCACAAAACTTCATCTACTTTAAATGCAAAATTCCCTGAGTTTTTCTAGATGTATTCACCCATGAAACCACCAACACAAATAGGATACGGAACATTTCCATCATCTCTAAAAGTTTCCTTATGCCTCTTTGCAATACATGCATTCCTTGTTCCTGAGATACTACGGACCTGACTTGTCCCCCTAAATTAGTGTACATCTTCTAGAATTTTATATAAACAAGCTCACATCATGCGTACTCCTTTTGTGTCAGCTCCATCCTCCCAGTGTAATGATTCTGAAATTCATCTGGGTTGTTTTTGTATTATCAGTTTATTATTTTCATTGCAGAGTAGACTTTAGTTGAATTTATGGACAGGAGTGTACACGGTGAATAGGTTTTGCAGGAGCCCAGAAAAATCAAGGAATCATTGCATGTTCCTTGGCACCTCTATCAGGAAGTATCATGTAAGAAACCCTGAAAACAATTAAGTTCTAAATTACCCAAGAGAGACCTGATGATTCCAAAAAGAAAATATTCGTGTTTCTGTTTTATTATGATTTACAGAATAGTACTGAACCCTAAACAAACACATTCAAACCAACCTTCTGGATATATTACTTGGTCCTTTAAAAGAGCAAGAGAGAGTATGTGGATATTAAAAAAAAGTCTTTATTATCTTTGACCTTAAGCTTTAAAAAAAGTCTTTATGGGAATAACAACTGTAAAAAAACGGGTCTCTTTATTTGGAGATTACTAAGAAAAACATTAATTTAGCGCATCTTCTCCCTCACAGAGCAAGAAGGGATCAACTTCATCATTTCTATATCATCTTTAGAATCCTAGGCTTCATTGATTTATTAGGATGGTCCACTTCCCAGTTTTTCAAGGCCTCCTCTGTTTAGAGCCTTATTTCTGTTCTCTGAGATTTGATAATGGCTATTCTTCTGCTATATTAAGTTGCAAATATTATTTTTGTCATAGAATTTGTAATCCTTGCCTACTAAGTTCTTTATTCTCATCCTATTTGCTGTCATGCTAGTAACTTTGGCACCTTCCTCACATTTTCTCTGCTCCCTTCTGAGAGCACTGACCTCATGGTCACTCACAAAATTGGCAATTCCATTCTAGACTTCTTTTTTTCCCACATATCTACCATCATAAAACTCTGACTCTGTTAATAAAATGCCCCTTCTTTTTGCTCTGTTGAGGTCCTTTCTCTATTTACACTTTTTCATTTAAATCACAGTATCCACCTAGACTTTCATTGAGCAGGACCTTCCCTCTGGCTTTGACCACGTTCTCCCAGCTGCTCTCCGCATGGCCTGCCTCTCTGCTTGAGCAAAATGCCTCACTACTCTCCAAGGCTCCAGCTCTGTCCACTTTTTAAAAATGTCGCTCCTCAGTGTTTCTTTTGTCTGACTGCCCACATGGGTCTTTATGCCTTTTTTCCTTATCGACTTTGACATATAGAACAACATTCCATTAATGAGTTGGTCCTTTGCACTCCTTTATTCAAAACCATCCAGAAGGCCAACCAATTCCAAGAAAGCATCCTATTCCTCCTTCTCTGCCCGCCAAGTCCAGGCTCTCCTTCCCACGCAGCTTGCTGTGGGGCGTTCTCTATCACTGGGGGATTGCAAGTGGCCTTAGGGAATGCAGCTTTGCTCTTGTTTGAAACAGTCTTATCTATCGTGAGGTTTGGGTCCATTTTTGTTTCCACGGAAATATAAATTCAAGCAAACACAAAAGCCAATGAGTTCCAAAAATAATTAGTTGCATTGTTACAGCTTTTAAGCCTCGTGGCACATACATTTAAAGGGTAATGTGGCAAAGCAGAAATTGAATTTTCAAAGAAAAAGCTAAAAAAGTGTAAAATTACACATCTGCCGCACTAGTGGCTAAATTCATGAGTTTAAAATTGATAAGGATATTGCTTAGTATAAAAATATGATAAAGGGACACAACTTTGAATTTTTCTTTATTTCAGTAGCTATTTTCAAATATTACAGTCTGACTTGAATTATTAGTTGCTTTATTGCCTCTCTTTCAGATTTCTTTTCCTTCTCTCCCTCTCAGAGGAAACCATGTTTCTGATGTATATTTTAAATATTTTCACAATTCAGATCATGTTCTAGGCATGCATCTTCAACTTTCTTTTTCATTCAACTTTTTAGAAAATTTATCTGTTAAAATATATAAATTCAATACATTGATTTTAACTGCTGAGTGGTATTTTGCTTATTGATCCATTATGTTATTGATGGACATTTTATTTCAAATTGTTCGCTATTAAAAACAATGAATGCTGAACTATACAAGAATTTCTCTAGGGTGTGTCTGGAAAGTATGTCAGGATCACAGGTGGAAGCCAGGACTTGTCCTGGGCAGCCTGGAGATAAAGCATGTAAATTTCAACTTTCTAGGCACAGCCAAATCTTCTGGAGAGGGTAATGCTGCTTTACATTAAACTTGTCAGTTTAGCTGAGATTCCATTGTCCACATGACCTACTAGTTCTTAAAGACACAAGTATCTCTTCTGCTTTCAGCCTGGGTTTACTTTGCCTAGTAATTTAAAATCACTGGGGTAGGGCAAGAGAAAGAGAGCATAGTTGAGATGCTGATTTTTGGTAGATAAGGGTCTGTGGCCAGAGTTGGACAGCTCCCAAGACCACAGGGTCAAGCTTATTTGTTTTATAGATGTGGAAAATAGGTCATTTTGTATCAAAAGGTCAATTATGAAGCACCTAGAATTTTTCAATTTAAAGAATATATTCTCTGGGCTCTGATATGGCCCAGACAGTGTTAACTTTTTTTTTTTCTATTGTGGGTTTTGATTTTTTTCCCCCAGAAATTGGTTTTATTTGATGTACCCAAGTCTTAAGTTTCTCAATAAAGAAAAAAATCTCCATAAAAAAAAAAAAAAAAAAAGAAAATGAACTGGAGGGATTATATGACTTGCCCACGGTCAGGTGGCTAGATAATGGTGGAAACATTTCATCTAGGATGAAAACCCTAGATGACACTGAATTCCTAGCCTAAATTTTGGCCTGATTAAATCACCAGAGCTACCTAAAGCAAGTTGCTATATCTTCTCTAAACAACTCATTTGTATCAAAACAGATGTAGAGTAAAAACAAAACTAAAAGGATGCAGAGTCTTCTGTAAAGGTACAACTCTGACTTATCTTTAGCTTCCTCATTACATTCTTTATTTTTAACAACTTGCAACAAATGTTCTAGTGCTTTTTGCTTCCATTTTCTATTTTATCATGTGTGAGCTACCCCTCAGATTCAGTCATAAGGCATTAATCTGACACATAAATTCTACCTTCAGAGAGTAATGATTCTATCTGTAAACATAGCTTGTGTCCACTGATTCAGACATGATCTTCAGTACACTTTTCAGGTAATAATACCCCACTGAACTGGAGTGGGGCAGTGAGGTCTAAAGGCCTGACAAAAACCACACTGTGAATTTCTCTAAAATTATGAATTGAAAGTAGTTTTGAAAAATATTCTGGCTAATTCATCTCTGTGTGGTTTAGTAGGAAATAGTGCTGAGCTTGGTGAGGAAGCTCAGCCCAACAGTGTGACCCTGGGCAAGTCACAGCACTGCGTCTCGTTTCTTTATGACAGAATGAGTCACTGGACCACACCGACTTCGAAGGCTCATTAATGTTTCATGAAGTTATCACCCTAAAATTAACGTTCTAATGCTAAACAATAAATGCACATCTGTATAGGGATAAAATAGCTTCCCTGATAGCTCAGATGGTAAAGAATCCGCCTGCAATGCAGGACAACCCCATTCAATTCCTGGGTCGGGAAGATTCCTGGAGAAGGGATAGGGTATACACTCCAGTACTCTTGGTCTTCCCTGGTGGCTTAGATGTTAAAGAATCTGATCTGCCTGCAATGTGGGAGACCTGGGTTCGATTCCTGGGTGTGGAAGATCCCCTGGAGGAGGGCATGGCAATCTACTCCAGTATTCTTACCTGGAGAAACCCCATGCACAGAGAAGCCTGGTGGGCTACAGTCCTTGGGGGTTGTAAAGAGTTGGACAGGACTGAGCGACTAAGCACAGCACAGCACATAGGGATAGAAAAATAGAGAAGAGAAAATACACAGTTGCATATTCTGCCTAAGTCTTTGTAAATAAAAGAAAGAAAATTCTCATTATGGCTGATTGAGCTTGTAGCCAAACTATGGAGATTCTAGAGCTGATAAAAAGGAACAAGAGAGAAAACATGGGATGCAGTAAGATGAAGTTCCTAGAAAAAAATTATTTTTAATGAATGTTAGTACCCTTCATGTCTTCTATTAGTATATGGCTCAGAGTGCTCCTTGGGTGGTTGGCTGGGGCTTTATTGCTTTTACAAGGTTAAAAAGGCTGAAGTGCTATTCTTCTTGGAAATTGCATATCCCATTGGGAATAATTAAGGCTAATAAGAAGCTGGAAGCAGAATCATGAATTGAGTTAATGTTTCATTCTTTTTTCCCTCCTAGGATATCTTATTTGAAAAGAAGGTAAGCACCACATGCTTTGATGACTATGAATTACTCTAAAACGCTCACATAATCAAATCAGCATTATAATTCACATTAGAAGGTAAGGTGTGACTAAATAAAAATTCTTACTTTTTTAAAATGAGCTGCTCTATTTTGAGGCAGCCACTTGATTTCTTTTATGCTGCCATATCCACTGCAGGTTGGAAATTTTAGAAAAAGTAGGAAGTATTTAAATGATTTTGGAGAGTGGTTTTAGAAATCAGTGATAATGCAGATGATACAGTTTTTGCTTACTTTCATGCTGCTTCCTTCATCCCAGCTGTGTCTCAATACCCCCCTCTCATGAGGGTCCTCCACTCTAGTGGGTCTTGAGCTGGCCAGGATGAAGTAGTGTTCCTGGCTAATGGACAGGGCTCAGAGTCATCCCCGCTGCCTGATGACTGACTGAGCTCATTCTCCTCCCTGATGGTGGCCACCAGACCAACTGGCGAAGGAAGCTGGCCAATACTGGTTGGACAGTACTCAGCACAATGGATGGCCATCAGCTTGCTGAGGACTGCAGTACTGGACATATGTTTCTGGGCAGAGGGTTTAGAACACCTGAACCTAGCTTGAGAAATTGTTTCTTTAACATGAGGACGCTTATGAGTAGTATCACATAAAATACTTACGAGCCAGCCAAAGCTTGTAGAAAACCATGCTTCGCTGAGTCATACATGGTCAGATACATCACTATTTTACATGCCATTTAGAGAGATTTTAAAAAAAGCTCTCTCCCAATTAAAATATGATACAGTGCCTTCTTATGAATCACAATTTTTCATTTTATACTTAAGGCAAGAGGCCTTTTAGATGTACTTAGATATAGATTTTAAAATCCTGTATCACTTTTGTGCATACTTAAAAGAGAAAATATAAGCAAACTAAATTGGTTATTTCTACCACTTCTTTGCATTCAAAGTTGAAATCTTCTGAATCACTTTCTATCTCAGAGTCATTGCTGCCCTGGCTTTTGCACACAATACCGGCCCCTGTGCCACAAAAAGTATCGGTGACACAGCATTTCTTCAAGTGCTCTGGTTGTGTCTTTGGAGTTTTCTTCCATCTCATTCTGGAAGAGCTGAAGGGCATGTGCAGAAAACACCAGCTTCATCCTGGTCAAGCCTGACTCATAGAATACTTCTTCTGATTTCAAAGATGTGAAAATAAGGAAAAAGATGCATGTTAGGATTGATAAAATATGGTTTAAATCAAAATTTTTCCTTTGTTGAGTAAAGCAGTATTTGATCTTTGTATGTTATTGAGCCTGGATGTGTTATATAGAAGAAAAACAGCAGAAAACTCCGAAAGTCCACTGAAAATGTTTCTTTTCTCGTTTTAACTGATGAGTAGATGTTATATTAATACATACATTTTTAATGGGAGGTCTATTTTATTTAACCATGCCAACATTTAATACTTTATTAGCTGGCTCTTCCTAGCTCAGAGTTTTCTTAGAAGAATTTAATAGGGAGAGCCAAAGCTCCATAAATTTTCAAGGTAAAGTTTCTTCAAGGGAGTGTTCCATTTAGTTATGTGTTGAATGAGATTTAATATCCTCTATTTCACTGTGTGTTAATGTTGTGTTTCATTGTTGATTTAGTGTGAACGCAAGATTTGTGAATGTGAGAAGGGGGATCCCGGAGATCCAGGGTCTCCTGTGAGTATATTTCTGCTTTGAACTTAGGGTCAGCTCAGGAAGTCCTAGCCATGATACTCTATGCTGAAAACACTGGGCTACTTTGTGCTGTTGAAAAGCAAATTGCAGCAAAAACGGAAATGTTGTGTCTTTCTTTTATTCCTAAAGGGATACACTCTGTCCTAAGAAATAAGCTTGGGATTTTACTGACCTGAACTGAGGGCAGATTTGCCTTAAAATCAGATGTTCTTCCCACAGAGGAGATCTCATATCTCAGCATCTCTTCTGATGTGACAACTGGAGCCAGAATTTCTCAATACTGAAGTGAAAATATAGAGAAAGGGTTCATATAGGTCCTCGGTGAGCTAGGCAAAGCTTCATCCCACTTCCAACTACAAACAAGTGACTGCTCCAGAAGTTAACTGTGTCTTCACACTTAACCAAGTGCAACTCCAAAAATGCCTAGTGGGGAGGAAGCTTGTTAGGGACCTCTGGATATTAGTGAATTGTGTAAAATGGAAGACACCACTTGGCAACTGGAGATAAATAGCAGGATTTGCTAACATGGTTCAGTACTTGAAAAGATAATCCCCAAAGACGTGCGTGCTTCCCTTATATCCTGCCCTAATACTGGTAGGTGCCATGTCTATTCTGGGAAGGTGTTGGGAACGACATCACAATGACTGGAGATGTTAGACATTTCTCTAACACACGCTTTTAGACACCTCCATGATGCTCCTTCAGTTTTTCATTTTCTTCTGTGATTTCAGACCTTAGAGGTCAAGAGCCCAGAGGAGACACTTCACAAAAATGCATGAATAATGTTTTTGAACTGACGTTTGCATTTGGGGGCAAGGAGGGAAATGCGTACAGTAAATTTCTTAGACTCGGACACATTTTCTTCTGAGTCTTGGGTCCAAAACCTATACGTTTTCAAATCATTCTACCAATCAAGGCATCAGAAAGAGAGAATGTTTGTCTTTTTAATATTTTTTCTTCAAAATACACACTAGATACATCACACGAAAATGTGGCAGTCAGCAAAACCTGATTTTGGTCAAGGCAGAGGTTTAACTTCTCCTTCCTATGCAGTCTTAGCTTATACTTGTTACAGCAAGAAATGAGCAGGAAAGGTTTGCTTGGGATATTCAATTATGTTTTAGAATAAACAGTCAGAAAACTTACAATTGCTAAGCTAATCTGACCATTTCAGTCACTCAATATTGTTGGAAGAGATTACTGCACCATGTTTTTATAGGGATAGCCATATGTGTACATGTGAGCATATCCACTCAGCCGTGTCTGACTCTTTGGAATGCTCAGTTCCTATAGAACCTGTAGCCTGTCAGTCCACAGCCATAGAACTATGTCATTTAGCATTTATTGAGTGTTCCCAAAACCAGTTCACAGAAGAGTGAGATTTTTGGTGATTTAAGAATACGAAAATAAAATGCCTGTATGGAAAAAAACTGAAGACCTCTCTTATCCTATCTTTTGAAACTCTCCCTTGGATATCAGGAAAAGAGAGACATTATCTTTTTTTGAGCGAATCTAGAGAATCTGCCTATTCGAGACTGTGCCATCTTCCTGGTGTGTAGTAAGGCTAAGCAGAGTTGAATCTCTGCTTGGTAGGCAAAGTTTTGTTTTTATAATCTTCTCCCATTTTATGGGATGAAGCTTATAAGAAATTGCTGTAAGGTGTAGGAAATTAATAGAATGTCTGTTCCATGTAATCTTTTTCCCCTTTGCCTTCAGGGTACACATGGAAACCCAGGTATCAAAGGTGAGCGAGGACCAAAAGGAAATCCGGTAAATGACTAAACAGCTTTTCTTTAAACCAATGTATCTCTTCTAGTTCTACTTAAGGAACAAAAATTAAGAAAACAAAGCATTGTACTTTATGCCAATGCCAAAAAAAAAAATCTGATGATTCTTGTGAAGAATACAGGCTGTTTGCTTCCTGCATTATCTGTCTGGCTTGTATAAGCTTGTGTTTACAAATTCAGAGAAGCATATGGCCATTTCAGTCAATAAATTCAGGAAACTTAGGGAGGTGAATAAAGAGAAACTCATTCTTATATAATGGTGGCCTAAACTGACTACTCCAATGTTTCATGAATCACTAATACATATTCCAAAACACATTGCTGTTGGCACTTGAGTTTTAAAACTACTTTACAAATTCCTTAATTCTTTTCTTTGTGTGCCATTAAAAAAAAAATCTTTGATTTAAAATTATATCATTGTTGGGATGGTCTTTCAAGAGAACAGATGGAATCATAGGAGAGAGATTAGCAAATGTAACCACGTGAAAATTTAAAGAAAAATTGTATTTAATGAAAAACAATAATTAAAATAAAGAGGAAGACATGTATGGAAATATTTATGTCAAATACCATGGACATGGAGATAATTGCTATAATGCATCCGTCTGATGTCCTAAGTCACTTCAGGTGTGTCTGACTCTTTGTGACCCTATGAACTGTAGCCCACCAGGTTCCTCTGTCCATGGGATTCTCCAGGCAAGAATGCTGGAGTGGGTTCTTTTCCGTCTCTAGGGGATCTTCCTGATGCAGGAATCAAACCCGTGTCTCTTAGTCACCTGCATTTGCAGGATTCTTTACCACAAGCACCACCTGGGAAGCCCTGCTATAATGCATAATGATTTTACAAAATAGGTGAGAAATGAATAATTAAATGGTCAAAAGACACAAACTGTTTTCAAGAGAGGAAATAAATTCAGTGAATAAAGAAATAGAAAAATGTCTAATTTCACTGGATAATGGATGAAATTTAAAGACTGACAATGAGGTGCCCTTTAATACTAATTGTTCACATTTTAGAAACTTTGGACTCCAAGGCTCTTGGGTTGTTTTGGAGTGGGGGGTGGAGGGAAGTTCACACAGTTCATACCTAGTTCACATTGTTTTTTTCTGTATTTTAAATTTTAAAAAGTTTCTTAAAGCAACTAACAGCAATATTAAAACAATAATAACTAGCAATATGGTGCTGAAACTACTTTCTTCTTCATTGCAAGGGTAACCTGGCACGAACACAAACATTTTGGGAAGCAGCTAGGCACTACATAAGAAGCATTCAAATACTCAAAATTTTAATCCCAGTAACTCCGTTTCTGAGAATAGGTTTAGGGAGTTAATGAAAAATATAATAAGTTAGATGCATGAAAGCATTTTTGCCAATTGCCCGCTTGCCAAAGAGAGGGAACGTATTCTTGGGTGGCTTTACAACACATATACACTCACACCCCTACACTCACCCACTTTCTACGGATCTGAATTAATGCCAGCACGTCTTCTTTTTGTTTTGTTAAATACCTGTTGGAAGTCTTTGTGACCATTTCATTTATTTGGCTTGTAATCTTGTGCCACATAATATATTTTCCTAAGTCTTGCTGAAATCAAGCAATCACTCTTAAGGACATTTTGGAAAACATTCCAAAGCCCCTTGGAGAAAAGCCAGAGTGGCTGGCTCCGAGAGGGTACAATGGTCTATTTGAGAACAACGGCTGTGTTGTTATACTAGAATGCGAGTCTCAGCTTGCGCTGTGAAAACATACCTGGATTCTGCACCCTATACATCTGGCTTCACTTCAAAGGGCAAAGGCTATCTGAGCTGCTGTCTTCTTCCTGAGACTGCATGGTGAGAAGGTCAGTCAGTGGTCAAGGTCAAAGATACTTTCCCCATTGGGTTGACCTATTAATCTGGGAATTCTGAAGAGTGCATTTTATTGAGCAATCACTTGCTCTGCAGGGCTGTGGAATTTTGACTGAATTTTTTCTTGTCACAGGGTGATGCTCAAAAAGGGGAACCTGGAGAAAGAGGCCCAGGGGTATGTACACGACTGAAATGCCTTCCTAAGAAAGTAATTCCAGGATGCTAAGATTCGGTAATGGATCATTTTGACCCCCGCAGTGCAAAAATGATTTATGTCTACATGTGCTCTGGATGGCTCAGACAGGCAGTCAGATAGATTGTGATCTCAGAAGCTGCAATGTGAGGAGAAAATACTCTGTCCAAAAGGAGTGAGGATGGGACAGAGTGCTTCACCACATGACACCCCTTGATGCTCAATTTGAGATTTGTGAAAAGCTCAAATGAGAAAAATATTGTGCTTTGCTTCTTGTGATTTTTATAAAAAATAAAAAGATTAAAGATCCCGGGGGCCTAAGAATTACATCATCTCAACTATGGTTTTGTAAATCTAATTCTACAGGTAAAAGAAGAGATCATTCTGGTTGACTTATCATCCCTAAAATTAGATGATGTCAGAGACTGTACAGCTGAGAAATAATTACATTTCTTCTTTTGCATTTTCTGGGAGGACTGCAGTGGTGTAGCAAATAGCAGAGAGGTATACAGGAACTTAAGAGAAGCTGTGTTATGTTTCTCTCTCAGATAGTCCGCTTGGATGAAAAAGCCCAGGACTCAGACCTGGAGGTTTGAAAAATGCTTCTCTTGGCGTTTTTAATCACTGTCATGAGAAATCTGATAGAAAGCTTGATAATCTCAATGGAAATTCCTTCAGCAATTTGTTATCCATTCAGGCAAGACTTTTTAGGTATGTTCTATGTATAAAGCATACTGTTAATGAAAATAAAATTAAGACAAAGCACTTATTTTCAGGAAAATCCATTATCTCTGAGGAGAGGTAAAACAGCTGTAATATGAAGCAGAACATCAAAACATTATAAAAAATTTCATGCATCAAATATTATGTCTAATGGGCATTCAGAGAAGACTGGAGCTATCAGGGTAGGTTCTATGGGATGAGCCCTCACGAGTGAAGGACCAGGTCAGATAAAGACAGACTGGAAGGTGGACGGGCAGGCGTTCCAGCTGGAGAGTGCTGTGAGCAGCAGGCAGGGGGATGGCAATGAGTGAGGGATGGTGAACCGGGGCCCTGGCAGACACAGCCTAGGGGTCAGAGTGGGTGGTCCCTGATGCCTGAAGGCTGGGCTTTCCTGGGTGATGGACTCCCCTTATGATTTTAGATGAGGCACATGGCCCCAGAGCTGTGGTTTTAGATTATTTTGGCCTGGCTCTAAAAGCAAAACTGAAGTGGGGATCAGCAGAGAGTATACTTTGAAGAGGTTTGTTGCTACAGGCTGCATAAGAAGTAACAGGGATGTTAATTAGCTAGAGCTGCTCTGGCCCATGTGAGTCACTGGCCATGTGTACTTAACCGGCAGTCAAGACAGGCAAGCCGGAGGGGAGGTGTGCTGGCGGAATGAACCACACACTGAATTTTGATGACTTAGTATCAGAAAAAAAGCAAATATCTCACTGATAATTTTTTAATATTGATCATGTGTTAACATGACAGTATTCTGACCTGTTAGGAGACATAAAACATATTATTAAAAATTAATTTCACCCATTAGTTCTTGCATTTTTTAAGTGGCTATGAAGGAATTGAAAATGCCATATGCGGCTCATGTTATATGGGACAGAACTGAGCTACAGTGATGACAAAACAGAAAGGAGGGGAACACTGTGAGAACCACGAAGGTGCAGAAATGTGGGGATGTGGTGACTAGCTCTACCTCAATTGTTCAACAGGATTTACTTAGCATGTGCTATATGCTGGGCCCTATACTGGGTGCCGGGGAAATGGAGGTGAGCAAGGTAGAAAGATCATGTTTCATGAAGTGTTCACACAGCAGGAGGCAATCAATAGGCGAATCAGTGAATAAGAATTCCAGTCAGGGAGAAGGTTCAGTTCCGTCTCTTAGTCCTGTCCGACTCTTTGTGACCCCATGGACTGCAGCACGCCCGGCCTCCCTGTCCATCACCAACTCCCGGAGCTTGCTCAAACTCATGTCCATTGAGTCAGTGACGCCATCCAACCATCGCATCGCTGATGAAAATACAAAACAAGGTCACGTGGGTTCCTAGGCAGAAAGAGCAGTAGGTACAAAGGCTCTGGGGTGGAAGCAGCTTGGTGGGCCCAGGAAATGGGGAGACAGCCAGAGCTTGAGGAAAGAGAGTGGGGGGTAGGAGATGAGGCTGTGAGGTAGGCGGGGGCTAGATCACATGGGCCTCGATTTGTAACTCAGGGCTCTGGGACCTACCTGAAGGTCCAGAGAAGAGAGAAGAAAAGGACCTATGTTTCCTTTTATTCTCTTCTATTCTTAGTCCCACATATTTTTTTCAAACCCGATTTCTTACCCTTTGGCCAGAAGCTAAAAGAGAGACTATACACTGAAACTCACTGTAGCAGTGATGACCTTTCAAAATTGTTATATTGACTTTTCTTTGTTTTTTGTTTGTTTTCTTATTTTTTAATTAATTAATTACTTTTACTTTACAATATTGTACTGGTTTTGCCATACATTGCCTTGAGTCCGCCATGAGTGTACATGTATTCCCCATCCTGAACCCCCCTCCCACCTCCCTCCCTATCCCATCCCTCTGGCTCATATACTGACTTTTAAACTATGAACTCTCACAGCTGAGGATGTTCCATGGAGACTTCTGTGCTTCCATTGCATGAGGCATGGGTTCAATCCCCGGCCAAGAAAAGTTCCCGTGGTGAGGCCAAAAAAAACAAAATCAAATTGATTATACACAAAGGTGTAATTATCAAAAAACAAGAAGCTCTGTATGAAACTAAGTGCCCTGGAAGCTGTTGGAGAATTTTAATTGGTTGGATTAAAAGAATGGAAGGGGCAAGTAGAGAGAAAAGATGATTATAAACTTTTGATTTCTGTATGATCTGAAATATGATGGTCCCGTTAATAGAAATAGGAAAGTCAGAAGCAAATTTTGCAGAGACCAATGAGCACGGTATAGACTGTCTTAAATTTGAGTATTTTAAAACTAGTAAGTGAAATCAGAGATTTCAGGGAAAAAACTAAAAAGAAAACAAACAAAAAACCAAGAAAATAAAACAGGAAAAAAATTATACTATAAAAAATAATATTCCTTTATTCTTGTTAACTGTATTGTTTCCTTCCTAAATACAATCTTACCTCTCTGAACATAAAATAATGACAGGATTTTAAATATGATAGTGGGTTAGAAGGGATGCAGATCACCCAAGATTCCTGAGATGGGAAGTCCAGTCTTTTTTTAGTGCTGCAAAACATGAATTGTTTTTTATAAAGAACACCAGTTTAACTATGGCCTTTAAGTTTAAGCACTACACTAAACCTTAAACCATTTATGTGAATAAGCGTTTCCGACATGGATTACATTGTACTGTAACATTTCCTTTTTTTTTTTTTTTCTTCTAGTTTTACTCTTCAATTTCTCAGTGACTGCACATTTGGAGAGAAGTGCTATTTATTTCCTAAAGTTTTCCTTTTTATCTTTGGTAAAAAAGTCCTACAGAACAAAATTTTGTACTCTGACTCACATGTAACTACACTCACATCTTGTTTATTCCACTGGTTTCTCCAGCTCACTTAAAAATATATCTTACAATTCTATTTTTATACTTGGAAACTACAGTCGTGTGAAAAAGACACTTGATCCAATTAAAGACTTGGTGTTGCTTAAGGCTGGTAATTTCCCAATCAGGTTAAAATTCAGCATCATGTTACTTAAAGGACTGTGGGCAGTGACCCAACGGAGAAGGCTGTGCAAGGTTCCCAAGAGTGACACATAAGAGCTGCTGAATCGCTGGCCCCTTATTTAGTGTGGGATAAAATATAGTAACTTAAAGGTCACTGTCTCACCAGGGTTGACAAAGGAACCGTTCATTTCCTTGATGTTCTATATTCGAGACTGAATTTGAAAGGAGGACCTAAATGGATATAAATATTTACGGGCATTTTAAAGGTCATTATCTCAACTCGTTTTCAAAGCCAATTTCTCTAACAGTCTCCATAGAACATTCTCAGCTGTGAGAGTTCGTAGTTTAAAAGTCAATATAACAATTTTGAAAGGACCATTATAGGTCATCACAGATACTGTGAGTTTCAGTGTATAGTCTTTCCTTTAGCTTCAGGCCAAAGGGTAAGAAATTGGGTTTGAAAGAAATATGTGGAACTAAGAATAGGATATAATAAAAGGAAACATAGGTTCTTTTCTCCCCTCTGCTATATGCACATTCCCTAAGAGCAAAGACAAGTGAACGAGCTTATCTTTATGTGGTCTTACTCTCCAAGACTGTACAAATGTGCTTTGTTATACTTTATAAATGAAAAACATCAGATACTTCCTCCAACTATGCCTTCTAATATCATATTCTACTTTTCTTTTTTAATTAGGGAATCCCTGGGTACAAGGGTGAGAAGGTAAGTTGGTAACAAATAGAATTTCATAAAGAAAAACAGAAACATAACTGTATTTATATATTCGTGTGTGTGTGTTTGTCACTTAGTCATGTCCGACTCTGCGATCCCGTGAACTGTAGCCCACCAGGCTCCTCTGTCCATGGGATTCTCCAGGCAAGAATACTGGAGTGGGTTGCCATTTCCTTCTCCAGGGGATCTTCCCAACCCAGGGATTGAACCCAGGTCTCCCGTATTGCAGGCAGATGCTTTACTGTCTATGCTACTAGGGAAGCCCATTTATATACTTAATAAAAGTTATTTTCCCTTATCTTTGGAAGTCTGGATTCTCAAATTCCTAAGTACATTTTTAACTCTGTTAACATAAACTAATAATAGAACTTAAGATATTGGCATATGCTATAAAGAATGGAAGGTACCCAAGATTCCTGAGATTAGAATCCAGTCTCTCTTAGCCCTGCAAATGTGAATTGCCTTCAGTAGAGAATCCTGACTTTTACAACCATGCATCACAAGGATCCAGCCCCAAAGTTTCTATGTACAAAAGGATATAGCAATACTACAATTAGGCTAGTGCCTTGGCACTTAGCTTCCTATGAAATGCAGACATAAGACCATCTACTGGGGGAAAGAGGGTGGATCATCCTGCTTAAACCGTAAAGAACTACTTATTTCATTTAGCCAATCATCTAGGTAGAACTTGCAGGAGGAGTGAATTTGACAAACAAAGGTTATGAGTTGTTAGATTATTTTATGATTATTTGAAAATTACAAATTATGACATCAAATGATTCAAAAGAAATGAATGTGTTAGACTGGGGCTCAGGAATCTTTGAGTGTTCACTTGTTCATTCTTAAGTTTATGCTGCTATTATTATATGCTCTCTATGGTCAGATAAGCTATTAAAATCAGAACATGTCGTTATCATTCATTCTGTCCTAAAACCCTCAGACTTGGGCAAGTGAGAGTGTTAGTCACTTAGTCGTGTCTGACTCTCTATGACCCCATGATTATAGCCCACCAGGCTCCTCTCTCCAAGGAATTCTCCAGGCAAGGATACTAGAGTGGGTAGCCAGGGGATCTTCCGTAGCCAGGGGATCTTGCCGATCCAGGGATTGAACCTGGGTGTCCCACATTGCAGGCAGATTCTTTACCATCTGGGTCACCAGGGAAGTCCCAAGGCCTGCATTAGAGGGTCCTGTTCTGGGTCCCCTCCAACCTCCACACTCATGATGGAACCAGGAGTCTGCAGGGTGAGAGGCCCATGCCCCCTTCTCCCGGATCATACTTTGGGTATCTAACACCCTAGAAGACCCTGCAAAATGACCTGAGCCTGCTTCAGAGGCTCACACAAACCTCTTTCCCGTGTCCATTGTCTTCCTAGCCCTGAGGGAAATCAAACGGAAGCTTTGTTGGGGCAGGAGGGGCCCATAGAGGGGGCTTTGTTATGCTGCTTGGGGCACCTTCACAGACACACACTGATAGGTCGTGGGCATAGGTCTCCCACATGGACCTCTGAGGAATTCCAAAACTCCTTTAACTTTTTACTCCTTTTGTAGGTTCATTTGTCAAGAAAGGAAGTTAGAACAGTCCAGGTTTATTAGCTTGACGTGGAACTTTCAGCTACTTAGATATATGGTATGTGGGTCTCTGCTTCCACTCTTGCCCCAGGGCCCTTATAAACATTAGAGTTGAACCTACAGACAAGCAAATAAATATATTCCTAAACTGGAAATGTTAGGCCTTGAAGGGGAAGAGTGTAAGAAATGCCATGATTCTGTACTTTGCCAAAGGAACATGGACAACTCGATATCTTAGAATGTCTGTTTTTTTCATTTGTATAGAACTGATCAGTGCAGGCCTCCCTAATTTATCAGGCTTTCTCTGTGGTTCAGTGGTTAAAAAAAATCCACCTGCCAATGCAGGGGATGTGGGTTCAATTCCTGGGTCAGGAAGATCCCCTGGAGAAGGACATGGCAACCCATTCCTCTATTATTGCCTGGGAAATCCCATGGACAGAGGAGTCTGGTGGGCTACAGTCCATGGGGTCTCAAAAGAGTCAGGCATGGCTTATGACTAAACAAACAATTTACAGGGTGATTGGAAAGTCAAACAGAATAATGTATGTGAAAATGTACTGTAAATTATTAGCTGGTCTATAAATAAATGATTCTATTATAAAGAGACAGGAAACAAATCAAAGGATGGGAAAGTTAAGAAAGTTTCATGGTTGTAAATAATTGTGCTAAATGGGCTTCCCTGGTGGCTCAGATGGTAAAGAACCTGTCTGCCAATGAAGGAGGTGCAAGAAATGTGGACTGGATACCTGGGTCGGGAAGATCCCCTGGAATAGGAACTGGCAACCCACTCCAGTATTCTCGCCTGGAGAATCCCATGGAGAGAGGAACCTGGTGGGTTACAGTTCATGGGGTCAGAAAGAGTCAGACATGACTGAGCGAGTAACATTAACTAAATTGTCCTAAATATATGGAGCTGAAGAAAATTCTCCACGGTGCCATCTTGATTTATACAATATGTTAATTATCAACACCAGGAAACACTCTATTTTTTTTGGAAAAGATTCACTTAAACTTCCGGAGAATAATAAGTTCACTGGAGGGGCCCTTGTTTGGAAAACACAAGATGTCAGAGTGAAAGGACCCTGAACTATCCACATTCAAGCCAGAATCTCACCAGGAGAAGGAGCATTAGAAACTGGAGGCTAGGAACAGAGCTAATCTGTTCAGAGTTTTCTGAAGTGCTTGCTCTCAGGAACTCTGTAACTGTGACCATTCTGCAGGGATTACTGAGCCCACCAAAGAAGAAAATGCCTTCGCAGAGCAAATAACATGAATACAGCATTTCATTGAAGGGAATCTGCCCCCAAACCAATGCTGCCTCTCAGGACCCTATAGCTAACAAATCTGTCTGGACAAATGGAATGTGAGTTTTTAGCCAAAAGAATTTTGAGTGTATTTACAGTACTTTTCTGTTTTATATTTTGGTGGTTGACTCATTTTATTTCCACTCATATTTATTTCCACACATTTTACTCCGCAACAATAAATTAATTGCTTTCTAATTGATTCTACAAGAGTGATTTTCCATTTGCATTGAGAAATAAATGTTCAGCTTGTTTTCAGGGAAAGCTCAGTTTTTCCTGGGTCAGGCTGACTCACAATATGATGGGGAGAGAGGACAGATTGCTTCTGAATAGAGGCATAGTTGGATCTAAAAATTGTACGTCCCTCTTGCCTGCTGCAGATGCTAGCGATATCCCAGGCAGAACCCCAGGCAGAAGTGTCAGGTTAGTGGAGGGTAACTTGCAGACCATGGCAACTGTTCAGCTCTGGGTGGTTGAGGAAGAACAAGGACTTGGGTGTCTAACAGACTCAAGATTGTGGTCATGGACAAGCTGCTTAATCTGTCTGAGCCTCATTTTCCTTGTGATGAATGGAGACATATATGCCTTGCAAGGCTGTTGTGGGGATCAGCAATAATATCAAGAATTTTGGCACACACTCTGCATCCATAATTGGTGGTCACAATTATCATTTTCCTTCTTAGAGCAAAGTGTGGTCGGCAGGTTGGCTATCAGTCTGCAAACTGTTGCTATTTTGTGATGAGCTGAAGCTTGCGGCAGAATATAAATCCACTGTATCACTAAACATTCTGTTTAGTTTAGCTGACATTTTCATAGCAAGATTTTCTTAATGAAGGAAGCAGGGCAGTGATGTTCATGCTAGCATAAGTTGCTTACATCATCGTGTATTAGCGGTTCAAGACGCATGCTCTAGAGCAGCATAGAGATAATAAAACAGCAGCAGAAACAGAAACTAGTAGTGAGGGCACTGGATTAAGAGTGCCCTAATGTCCATTGGCTGGCATGAATATTGATGTAAATCACTTAACCTCCCCAACAGAAATGCCTTCTCTTAAAAATATGAATTTTTTGGAGGCTCAGAATAAATAAATATATATGTGAACACACTTTGAAAATTCTAACTTTAGTTGTTTTTCTAATTGACTTTGCTACTTTTAAATTCTAATTATTAAAAGTCTTAGAAGTCTGATATAATGGATTAGTATTCAGAGGCCCCAGTTCTCATTCTGTCTGAGTAAGTTACATTTAAATCACAAATTTTCATTCTGTGAGACTGGGCTAATACTATCTACCTCAGACATGATTTACATTATTAAATGATTAAAGATTTATATCAGTGATTGAAATGATTTACATCAATGTCAGATTAACTGAGATAATGTCTGTAAAATAACGCTAATAGTAAACAGCAAAGCATCATTTAAATGTTAATTTTTTTCCCCATTAATATTCCAGGAAAGGCGGGACTGTAGGCTGAGGTGAGGGAAAGTATATAGCACGCTTGCCACCACGCCTGACCCTCTCTCTCTCTCACAGCAGACCTTGCTCATCCATCATGGCTCCCTTCTCTGCAAGTCAGAACATGTTCTAGAACCTTCTTCTCACAGATTTCTAGGCAAACACTACTAATTGATCAAAGTTTGTGCTCAGGCCAGAGCATGTAGTGTTGTGGAAAGAACAGGGTCTCTGAGTCTGAGTAGACCTGGTTTCAGACCTTGACTCTTCTTTACTAGCTCAATGATGGAGTGAAGTTATCTTATTGAGCTTAAGTTTCCTCATGTATAAAATAAGATAAAAGTGAAGGGGATTAGGAGGTATAAACTGCCAGTTATAAAATAAATAAGTCACATGGATGTAATATCTAGCACAGGGAATATAGATGGTATGTAACCTACAAAAATGTTGAATCATTATCTTGTACACTTGAAACTAATCTAATATTGCAAGTCAACTATACCTCAATAAAAAAAGACATCTAACAATCAAATTGCAAAAAAAAAAAAAGGAACGGCAAAACTAACATCATTGGACTGTAATGTGGATTCAATTAAATCACATATATGCAAAGGGCATATATTATATCGTAGATGCTTATTAAGCCTTAGTTTCATTCCTCTTAATTTCATCCATCTCTCAAAAATGTGAAGCCTCATTAGGTGGTATTACTAATTTGATTCTGTCAAGTTAGGAATGACTCAAGGATAAAATTTTTCAGAGTTCAATGCCCAAACAAACCCACAGTATTGAGGGTAAAATTGTGTTTAATTCATCAGACTGCTCATGTCATAAGATTCTGCTGGGAATCTTATTAAAAGAATCCTAACACTGAATGACTGTCTTCTTTATCTTGTGTATTTATTTTTTAGGGTGAACGTGGAGAATGTGGTAAACCCGGAATAAAGGGTGACAAAGTAAGGAACATGCTTTTAAAATGTTAACAGCTGTGATCTCTGGGGCTGAATTTCGTTAAGAGGAAATCCTGGGAAGCATGTTGCTCTCGCTACTGGAATTAGAGAGTCACCCATTCAATTTTCACATCTGTGAAACACGAAGCAGAAAACAAAGCCACCCCTAACTTTAGTTAATGGAGCCCCCCCATGCCTCTGCGGCACCCTAACCTTTGACACCAGGCCCACCAAATGTTATGGTGAAAGAGGAACTTAACTGGCAAAGTCAGTTCAAGATCCAATTGGGTCAAAGTGGAATAGTTTTCCAGATGTAAATTAAACCCTGAGAACAAGCACCTTCCAAAACAGAATGAAGAACTCTATGAAATAAGTTAATGAACTACTTTTCAATAATATGGAAGAACTAGACATAGATAGGGGTTTGAAACTGAAAATGAAGCCAACCACAGATAACTGAGTAGTTATTTATCTTTCATTAGAAAATAAATGTGAATAAAGTATGTAAACTGGAGACAGTATTAAAATGTTAAGGAGTTCTTTAATGGACCAGAAATAGAGTGTATTTGAAACAAGATAAAGGATCCAAAAAAGTACAGAGTGAAAGTAAATAGTAGTTAAGAACTGTTATAGTTAAGAACTGTTAACAGCATGCCACCAACATAATAAAGTGTTTCAATATCCATCTTTTAATTATGGGAAGAGTCAAAGAGAGAAAATGAGGCAGAAGGTAAGCAGAAAGGAGAAAATAGTGACCCTGGCCTATGTAACTAAACACTTTAAGTAGCTTGAGACTTTCTGAAAGCTTTTAAACTACTGTAGAGTTAAAGGACCAGGTGAATCTGAAAAATGTAGGCTTGGTAATTATCTTTGGGAAAAATGAAAGGTGTGATAATGAATGGATTCTTCCCAGAGAATAACTGAAAATGGGAGATGGACATGGACTTAAAAATACTGAAGAAGGGACACACAAAACAAAAATGAAAGTCAAACAATAATTGGAAAAACTATGTGAAATAAAAATGGCTGACAAAGATTTAAAATAGTTCATTGACCAAGATGCCAGGGATTATTAAATGCCCTATTATTTTCAGTGTTAAAAAGAAAGAAAAGTACTGACAATTATAAATGTAAGGTGAGATTGATTGTATAATGTATTCCAATATCAGAGATGGAAAAATCTGAAAAAAGGCATGTCTAAAGTCAAAGAAATATAGTGTTATTGACATGATGAGTTCATGTAAGTTTACATGTAAAATGTACAAAGAACAAGAGAAAATATAAATGGGTAATAAATGAACACATAAGCAGTCAGAGAAGTAAAATTTAAAACATTAAAATATTTTAGCAATAAAAATTAAAAATATAAAATAATATATAATACTCAGTATTGATAGGGATTCTATAAAATGAAGATGTATTCTCTCTACTCAAGTAGTGAGAATGGAAATCTGAACATACTTTATGCAGGAAACATTCCTTTATCTCTCCATATGTGGAGAGACAAAAGAAAGTGAGAGAGAGCCTTAAAAATGCTTACAGGCTCCGTGCCAATCATCATCTTCTAGGAAATTATCCTTAGGGATAAATCAGAAGTTGAACAAAGACTTATACACAAAGATATTCACTATAATATTGCTAACAATAGAAATCATTGGAAACAACTTAAATGTCAAAACCAGGGAAATGAGTAATTATAATTATGATAGATTCACATTTTTAGATATTATTCACTTTACTAAGAGTTTTTAATGACATGCAAAATATTTTTGATAGAATGGAAGAGCAGATAAGTAGGACACAAAATTGGATATACATTTTGATCAAATTATTTAAACAAAAAACCTATTGGGAACAATATCGTATGAAAATATGCCTAAAATGTTAACAGCAGTTGCCTCTGTGTGATTGTTGTCCATTAATTTACTCTTTTCTATAGTTGTCAAGGTATAACTATTATCAATAGGTTACATTTTGGTAATCAAAAAAAAGTAGAAATCTGATAGAGACTAGATTATACTTTCATAAAAAGAAACTTTAAAGGGCTTCCTAGTTAACAAACATGTTGAAGTATTTTGTTAGAAAACTATTGAGTATAAACTGTTTTGCCAAGCTCCATGTCCTGAAGATGGGGAAGAGAGAGATGTATACATTGTGGAAACTCACTTAACCGATATTGCCTTGTTGGAAGAATACAGTATTCCACAAACTATACTGGTTTCTAAGAATTCTTAAGAAATATATTTTAAAAATTCTGATCAAAATGTCAAATATATATAGGCAAAGACTTAATCCAAAATTGTAGTTTCATGGAGTTTGTTACTAAAAGAAAGCTGGAACCCAAAGTGGCTTGTTAATAAGGATCATTTTGTTAACAATGAATCTGATGTTTGGATAACCTGGGAAGATTGGCCATTACTGAGAATAAAGTCCCTTCTGTGCCACCTAAGATCACTGCAAACTAAACAGATATTTAGAGTATCTTACTACTAATTTTATTTCACAGGGATCCCCAGGGCCAAACGGACCAAAGGGACCCAGAGGAATTCAGGTAAGGGAATGAAAACCAAATCTAAGTCTGTGTTAGGATCACCTAGGAAGCTTTTAAAACCCCTTCGCCCACTTGTACCCTCCACCAATTCAGTCAGAAGGTTCCCAGGTAATCACAGTGTGAAACAAAGTTCGAAAACTCATGCTCTAATATTTTGACTAACTAATCCAGGCTCCCTCAAGATAGTTAAAAAAAGGTGAGTCTACTTAGTGAGTAGCTAAAGAATAAAAACTAAAAAAAAAAAAAAAAAAAAAAAAGGGGGTCGAGGAAGATAAAAGCGTAATGCCAAAGCAGTTGAAAACAGAATGTACCTATGTTTGCACTGCTGCTGGAAAAGCTGTGCATTTTATCTAAATTACAGCATTTGTATTGTTCCATCATAAGTAGTCACTGCTCAGTAACATGCAATGATTCTTTAAGGCATTTATTTTAGACTTATCCCAGAGATTCCAGAAAGTGATTTGAATCAGTTTTTTTCCAGTCTGGGGACTTGCCTTGTCTAAACTTGTAATGGGAGGAGTGTGTGTATGTGTGAAGTGCTAATTTTAGCATTTCAAAAAGTCTACTGAAAATTATACCTTTACCCCAATTTCCTAGAGGGCATCTTGTTAACCATCATCTTCTTTGTTCTGGCCTGGAATTGTGTCAGGGCAGGGCAGTAACTGATTATTATAAAGGGTTATTGGACACTCCAATTTTCAGTTATATGCCTTGGATATTAATACATATTTTAAAAAGTTGTTGTTTAATCAAAATCTTTCCAGAAAGTGGTCCAGCACAGGAATAACGTTGGAAGCACAAGTTTAGAAAATGAACAGCTCATCAATAAATATTCGCTCTCAGCTTTAGGTACTATTTTAGAAGCTGTGTGTTTGACATGGGATTTTATCTCATCCCATTTCTCCATGTGTGTAACCTTCACTTAACTCTGAGTCAGACAGTCTGGGTTCCTAATTCCAGGATCTCTAGTGACCCTCATGAATGATTCATTCCTCGTTGGCCTTTTGTATGCAGAACTAATTCTTGGTTTTCATCCTGGAGCAGGGCATTGCTGGACCTCCTGGGGATCCAGGCCCGAAGGGATTTCAAGGCAATAAGGTAACCATACCTGTCGGTTATAGACAGGCAGAGTACCTTTCCCCTATTGACTGATGGTGATAGATGTTTTTCTTAAGCAGGAGTCCGTGGATTCTTTGAGGATGAATCTTTGGGAAAATATAATAATCTGCATGTGTTACACACAGAATCATGTTTAAGTCTATGTAGGAAGCTAGTGTCATAGTTTTACATTTATTATTATTATATTACTCAAAGGGGCATTATTAAATGTAAGCCATTATCCAGAATTTCTGCAGTGTTTCCATCTTACTCCTGCCTTTTAGTCATTTTATGACTCACTAGAAACTGAAAAGTAGTAATAAATAACACAATTCAAATCACTCTATTGGCCACAGGTAATGTCAACTCAGTATACAATTGATAGGTGAAGGGAATTTATAACTTTCATATCAGCAACAATTAAGCTTTTTAATTGAAAGAGTATAACCCTGTGGCTCAGATGGTAAAGAATCTGCCTGCAATGCAGGAGACCAGGGTTCAATCCCTGGGTTGGGATTGAAGGGAATGGCTACCCACTCCTCCATGGACAGAGGAGCCTGGTGGGCTACAGTTCATGGGGTTGCAAAGAGTCAGACATGACTCAGTGACTAACACTTTGAATCTCAACTCTCAGTATCAGCCTTGTAACATCATTCCACAGATAACCAGACAAGACAGCCAGGGTGGGGTTGAATAAAAGTCAGATAGAACCAAAAGATAGAAAGGATCTTTAAAAGACCAGTTTATAAGATCCTGTTTTCCAATGAGAGTGGCCATTAATTCACAGAAAACAGGCATTTTAGTGACTTTTTAACTCTTCTCAATGCTTAGAAAATTTCACAGATACAATAAATACCCAGCAAACATTTTGAGTTAGTGACTGGAGATCCGTAGAATTTATGGTAGTAATAAGAGCAGACGACGCTGTCCCCAGAGAACCCTAGGTAAAGCCAATCTTTTAAGGGTGCTCTAAAATTTAAGTCGTGGGGAGCCGATGGGCTACTTGAGTGTTCTTTTTTCAGACAGAGGTAAGGGAAGGACACACATAGTATTTTTAATGAGATAATGACAATTCGTGATTTCCCAGGGCAGTTTTAATTGGCAAATTAAAACAGAATGAGCTTCTCAGCGGGGGAAACTGTCTTTTCCAGTCCTTGCCTAGGAAATTCTCTTTGGGGCAAAGAAATGGTTCTTTTGAATACTGAGTAGAAGTTTTTTACAAAATTGCTTTGGCCATAGGGAAAAATTCTGCAGCCATAAAAATATATATATATATATATATATATTGACATCCATAGTTATTTCTTGGATTCTTTGGTCACCTAAGATGATAATTTTCACCCGTTCATGAAAAGAGGCTTAAAATCAGGTATCAGATTTGAAGTTTGCAACAGTGATAGAATTATAGATATTTTGAGTCACAAAGGATATTAGAGATCATATCAGCTCCAAGTTGTCTTTTGGAAAATGAGAAATGAAGTCTGGAAGTCAGGGCATCTGTGGAGATGCTGGGCCGGGAGCCAGACATGCAACTTCAGGAGATGGCTGATGGCAGTTCACATAATAACGTGATTGCTTGATCATGTCTCTTCATGTCTCATACAATTACTACTTAGAGTTTTCTTTTAAAATGAGTTTATTTCCACAGAATTTAGCTTTTAATTCTAACAAGGCATTAATTCTTAGAAAGAAAATATGAGTCAAGTATTTTGAGGCAGGCTGTAGTTTTCTGACATGATAACACTTCATTCTTGACTTTCACAACATCACCGTAAGAGGAGTCATTTTTCCAAAAGTAGCTGAGGACTTCAACTTTTCAAGGGTCTCTCTTTTAAAAATTTCTTTTTTTCCCCCAAAACTGTGGTGGACATTTAATGTAAAATTATCACAGGTTTAAAATCACAAACTTCACTGCCAATTGAAAAGATGTCAATATCTAGAGAATACTGGGGGTTGTTGGAAGGAAGCAAGATGGGAGTGAGCTTCTCGTTTTTCTCCTAGTTATATTTTTGGCTTAGGGTCACAGATATAATAGTTTCTTGACTATTACCTGGAGACTATTAGCAATTTCTACTCCTCTTTCGATCTGTCAACCAGAGATGCATGCATATTCATTAATTGTCTTAGGCTTTATACATTTATTCTTGTCTTAAAAGTCAGATTTCAGGGAGTGATTTCATCTTGCATCCCAGAATGTACTTCTAAATCTTAAAAACTGGACAAACTATTTTTTTCCCAATTTGGAAACAATGTGTGACATTTCTTTTCATCCATTACCATTTTATTACAAAACGGTTTTATGAAATTGCTATTGCAATTTGTGCCCCCCCAAAATCTCTAAAATGCAGCAATTCTGTATTTTCCAGTGGACACAGGGATGACTATTACTGGGAAGTTTCTATAATTATAGCATTATGGAGTATACATTTACTATGTGCAGATGCAGTTCTAAATACCCATCTAACAACACCGCCTCTGAGGCATGACCTAGTCTTACCCCTACAGTACAAAGTAGGCTACTATGGCACAGAGAGTGTAAGCAGTGAATTCAAGCCTACATAGCAATGAAGGGACAGAACCAGGACACCAACCCAGTCAATCTGCTCTTAATCCCCAAATTTTATATTTATTATATCTCGTTAGGAAAACCGGTGAATTTCCTGGATAGCCAACCTGACATAAACGTCTTTCTTTTGGACAGCATGGAAATCTCACGTCTCCCCTTCTAGCATACACTGGCTGGAAACAATAGTCTGTTGGGGCTTCCTTAGGAGCTCAGTCAGTAAAGAATCTGCCTGCAGTGCAGGAGACCTGGGTTTGATTCCTGGATCAGGAAGATCCCCTGGAGAAGGAAACAGCAACCCATTTCAGTATACTTGTCTGAAAAATCCCATGGACAGAGGAGTCTGGCGGGCTACAGCCAGACATGACTTGGTGCCTAAAGCACCACCCCACAAAAGTCTGTGGCGAGTACATTTCTTCTTGGTTATAATGTTCATCTGAAAATGCAGGGAAAGAAGGAAAGGACTCTCATGGGAAAAAAAAACCAGTAATGTGCGTTTTCAAATATTTTGTCTCTTATGAGACCTTAAAATAGAAACCTTTGGACTTGTAACATTTGCAAAGATTCCATGGGAGTTTCTAGATGAGGCCTGTCTATGAATGTGAAATTATGAATAGTCTCTCTCATGAATGACAATCCTGTTCTGTTGCTCCAGTGGTTGGCTTTTCTTCATCAAAGGCTTTGCAGAAAAGGTGGCCAAAGAATAAAAGGTAAAAATAGCATGTGTGAAATCAAAGAAAAATGTGATTCTGGCCCTGTTTCATACATCATTTCTGTCATTAATAGTTTCCATATGTAAAGTACCTCCTATTCTGCCCTAAATGACCTTGTTACCTTAGAAACAAAACATAGATGTTTCTCAGAATGAAGCCTTTGAGGCCACCTAAGGCAATGGCACCCCACTCCAGTACTCTTGCCTGGAAAATCCCATGGACAGAGGAGCCTGGTAGGCTGCAGTCCATGGGGTCGCTATGAGTCGGACACGACTGACCGACTTCACTTTCAGCCTCTCCCAGACATGAGATGAGGGTCAAGAGTGGTATTTATAAGAAGAACATCCCATCAGTCTCTAAAATCAATTAGAACTATCATCACACAAGTGTCTGAGAAGCCATATCCCTAGGCCCAAATTGACACTGTGCTCTTTCTCTGTAAAAACTGAAGGCCTCCGAACCCTATGCCACCTCCCAAGGGTTGTTGTGGTGGGTCAGGCAGCCACTCCATCTGGTCATAGAGTGGGCCTTCCAATAACAAGAAAAAATGGCTCAAGACTAGCAGGCCTTTCAAATCACAGAGAACAAGTGACCAAAATTAGTTGGGAACAAATAAACATAGTAGAATGCTGGGTGTGCCAAGCCCACATTGGGTAATTTTTGCCATTTCTTGATGTCCTTCTGAGGTTATTTCTGAAGGATGTTTTCATCTCAAATCTCACCCAAATCTGCTCTTTCCAAGAAGACCCTCTTTGTGCTCTGGGAGGAGGGACTGCTCACTGTGGTCTGAGCAGGAAATAGCTTGTGGCTTGCTGAAATATCCTAGCACGAGAGATCAGTGCGAGGGCCAGAAGGGCTTTAGGAATTATCCCTGATGTATTCCCCGTGTCAAAGTAGCACATGCTAATCCTCAAACAATTTAAAACTGTTGTGATATTTATATTATATATTGATTTCTTTCAATAGATGAATTGCCTCCCTTCTTTTAACTTCTTCCATTGTTCTCCTCAAGGTTGTTCATACATTTTTCTTTAGGGATTCCCCCGACCCTCTATTCCCACACAAATATCTTCTTGTGTGGTACTCAAGTGTAAGAAACTCAAAGTACTCTTTATGTTCACTTTAGCTTCTGAGATGTTACAAAAACTCAGAGGCAGTGCCAGTCTGGTCCAGTTTAATGAATGGATATGGTCAGAGTAAATAACCTCTGGTGAATCAAACATCCATCTATGCACCCAAAATAAACAACAGACTTAGTATTAATGAACAAGTGAGATTTAGGTTTTAGCGGAATTGAGGGCAAATGAAGCATTTAGCCCACTGTCCATAATTCTTAGACAGCCTACTCCTCCTTATCTACCTCTGTCATGGTTCCATCTCATTTTTTGAGGTTCCCAAGCACAACAGATACTTCTTTAAGTAGTTGGTGTTCTTATAAGGAAATTAAGTAAATGAAAGCTAAATGTACAGATCTTGAAATTAAAATTGTAAAGCTAGTAAACATCCCTACACAACAACCCATTTTCTTCAAAATGATCTATGAAAAGAGGTTAGTTTTTAAAACAGGAGTGGTTATCTCGACACAGCTATTAGGAATGCGTATGTACCTTGTAGCTGGGAGAGTACTAATCAGGTTTCTTTATAGCTTTCGTGCACTATATCTTTAAACATGGTCAGTCCTCTTTCAAATATGAACCACTGGCAGAAGAATTAGACAGATGTGT